CCTGATCCCAGGGCCAGGACCAGGGCAAGGGGCAGCAAGGCAGCAGCTCCGAGTACGGTGTGGAGGTAATTTCATTAGCAGCTTCAGGAGCAATTAACAACTGTTCTGACGCCTTCGAGAGCTGCAGTAGCTACTAAGGCAGCGCACGTCTCCATTCGTCCTGCACAACACTGGCAGGGTGGGGCAGAGCCACACAGCCCCGGCTGGGTCAGAGAGGGAAGACCCACTCAAACCTCCCACAGTTAAACCCCCCATCTTTGAGGTCTCCCTTGCTGATAGAGTCATGTGCATGGGCAGGGATGGGGCACATGGGGCAGCACCCCGGGATGCTCCCAGTCCTCCATCCTACACTTCAGACCGCAGCACATCCCACACACGATGGGTTTGGTGGAGAGGACCTTCAGCCCCATCTCCATGCCTGGCAGGAGCCTGGCACAGCAATAAGCCTACTTCTTTGGGCTGGCTCATTATCACTAATGGCATTCGCATGGAAACAGGATGTTTTCGCTCCTTGAGGCTCCATCTGCTCCTGCTGCAGTCACCACACACACGTGAGCTCCAGGGGGCTGCCATGGGAACTGGGATCCCACCGCATCCCCAATGGGGTGAGATCCCATTGCAGCGTGGGGATCCTGGCCCAGATCCTGGACCCATCGGTGTGGTGTGGGGCAGGGAAGCAGGGCTGGCTCTGCCCCATTGGCACGGTGACGGTGCTGCATGTGTGCCATGCTGGCGCTGGGCTCTGCCACACGTGTCCTTGTCACTCTCAATGTCCCTCCTGCGCCGTGGCCCAGTGTGGCAGAGCTGTCACTGGGGAAGCGGCTGGGCGCACTGATGAGTTAATAGACACTAATTAATACAGATTGGGGAAATCACTTTCAATTCTGATCGCTCTCCCTCTTGCTGTGGGGAAGCCAAGGAGGTGGACAGGCTGAATCCAGCCCCACTGCCCTGCCACACCTCTGGGGCAGCACCGTGTCCCCTTGGCTGTCCCCATAGCAGCCCATGCAGTGAGCTCAGTGCCCAGCGCCTGGGCAGCAGGACGGGTGTCCCACAGCCACTGCACCCTGGGGAAATGCTGGAAGTACTGGCCCTCCTGGGTACTGTAAATGGATTATTACTCGGAGTAATTAAGATGGAATTAAAAATTAATTCTTTTCTCCAGCGTGCCACGGTGGTGGCTGAGCTGTGTGCTGCAGCCTATGTGCCAGGGCTGGTGCCCAGGAGCAGCTGCGTTGGGGCAAAGTGCCACCAGGGTGCTGATGGCATCGCACTGGGTGTCTCCAAGGGACACGGCTGCATCCCTGGGGACGTCACCAGCCGTCACCACGTGCCGTGTGGCCGAGGTGCAGCCCTGCCCATGACCTGGGCGAGGCCAACACCGAGGCTCCCCACACTCCCTTGAAATGCTGAAATATATCTATGCCTGAGCTCATGTATAATGGATCGCCCTCGCGCTTCCTCCCCATCCATCCGTGGTATTTAAGGAACTGGAATATTAAACACCATTGTATTAACGAAACTGCCGCCTGCCTCTAATTGAGTTACAGAGAGAGAGGAGTGCTGACAAACAAACAGCTCGCAGTGCGTGGCTCTGGTGAGCAGGACGTGGCTGTGGTGCTGCGTGGCACGGGGCGCAGAGCACAGAGCACAGCACAGCACAGCGTGGCACGGCGTGGGATATCCCAGCCCTGTCCCATGTGATGAGGATGCTGGAATGCAGAGCCGGGAGTCTGAGCTCATCCCATCCACACGAGGAACGGGAAGATTATGAAAATGAAAAGTAAATAAATATGGATGTTGAGGACCTAATTCTGGTAAGAGGATTTTCAGAATTAGCCATTTGCAGGAGCAGATTAACTGCGTCCAATGCTGAGTGCAGGGAGGGCCCTATGAAGGCATGGCACACCCGACCCACCCACCCCACACAGCCCACGGAAGCGCTCGCTGCTTTTGCAGGAGATGGATTTGTTGTGCTGGAAAACAGCTGGCTGTGACACCAGCCCAGGCATGGCGCCGGTGCCACCATTCCCAGCCACTACAGGTCCTGGGGACACGGTGACACAGCACTGGGAACCACCTGGGCTGGGATGGAGGGGATGGGGCAGAGGGCAGAGCGGCAGTGGGCAGCAAAACCTCCGGGTTGTGCACAACCCCACATCCCACAACCAGTAGGTGCTCTGCCCAGAGCGGGTGCTGTGCGTGGGGCTGGGGGCACGTCTCTCACAGCCAGCGGCACCAGGAGGCTGCCAGGGCTGGCGGAGGTTCTCTGCATCCTCCGTCTCGGATTTTCTATCCAGGCAGCCAAGCAGAAATCTCATTACAGCCCAGCACAAAGGCAGCGTCCCCGAGCGTGGCTAGGAGCTGGCGTGGGCACGGCCATGAGCGTGTGACGGAGCGCAGCATGGGGTTTTAGTCTTCTCCCCCCAACACCCTGCAGTGCCCCCACAGCCCTGCAGGGCTCCGCACCAGGCTGCCCCAGGACCCCAGAGCCCCCACCCCCAACCCACCCGCGCTATGGGGTTGGGAGCACGCCTGATGGGTGCTGATCCCAAGGCTGGGTGCAGCCACCCTTCTGTCCACAGCTCCCGCAGCAGCAACAAAGGCAATTAATTAGTGGGGCGGTCAGAGAGCTGCCGGCAGAGCGCTCGGAAATCGATGGGTCCATTGACTTCTTGGGAAATCCCAGCTCTCCCAGTGGGTGCAGCGCTGGGCTGGGTGGGGGGGAAGCACAGGCTGCAGTGACAGCAGCCCCATACTGAGGGACAGCAGGGGGCACACAGGACAGACACACGTGGCACTGCCAGCAGCCCTGTTCCCTGTGCCATGCGGTGAGGACACGGCTGTGCTAATGGAGGCCCCCCCCTTCCCAAGCTGTTCAGTTGCATCTGTGTCACAGGGAGATGCGAGCTGCAACCTTCGAGGGGGTGGCACTAGTGGAGGGGATGAGGCTGTGCCACGGGTAGCGTCCCATTGTGCCCCAAGGCATGGGCTGCACGCGTGCCATGCTGTAGGCACAGCACCTGGTGGGGATAGGGTACACCAAGGTCATCACATGGGAACAGCAGAGCAAACCCCAAAGGCCCCATGGCAATAAGGACACAGGTCAGAGCGGAAGGACATCTTCTGCAGCCCTGTGAAGTACCACAGCAATGCCTGCAGGCCCCCCGGCCACGTGGCTGCTGTCCCTGTCCCCATACAACCCACTCTCTCCCCCCACCCACCTCTGCCAAGTGGGGAAGTGCCAGCCTGTCCCTGCGGGGAAGGAGAGTGCTCAGCCGTGTTGTAGGAGCGAGGCTGCCACCGTCATGCAAATGAGAAGTGACAGTGAGGGACCCTGCACAGGTACAGGTTCCCTGCAGCACAGGGCACTAGACACTGTCCCCCTCTGCCCCTCCTCTGCCTCTGGCACTGGGGACAGTCCTGCAAACACTTAACTCTCTCCCTGCCATGCAGGCCCCTCTGTGCCCATCCCTCCATGCAAACTACCCTACGCAAACACCACCGGTCATGCCCTGATGTGCAAACTCTGCCTTGAAACCCCGGGATGGGGTGTGGGGGTGCAGTCCCTGCCCCCTGCTGCGTGTGGGAGCATTAACAGGGAGGGTCCATAGGCCCCTCTCTTCCTCCTCCCACACTACCTTCCGTCTCTGGGGAGGTTGTCATGGGAACAGTGCATTGTTGGCACCCCTCACCATGGGTACCCCTTGCCACGTGCCTTGCTGCTCAGCCTGCACCCACACCAGGATGGGGTGGGCAATAGGGGTGAAGGTCCCCCACAGGGACTCCAGAGATAACGTGGAGCTACTGGCCATGCCCACAGTCCAAAACCCTCCAGAAGCACAGAGCATCCCTGCAGTCCCTGGAGCAAGGAGATGGGTGCTGGCTGCATCCTGACCCTCATCCTCAACCCCAACCCCGCAGCTCGCCTTGTCCTCTCTGCATCTCCAGCTCCACTGCACCCTCCCCCCACCATCCTCAGCCCTGCTACCATCTGCCTTTCCATTTTGATCAGTATTAATTTTTAATTATGATTATTGACAGGGCATCCAGTGCAGCTGGCTCAAGGGACAGCTGCTTGGTGTGACACTGCCCGGAGGGGCAGCCTCAGCACTGCTGCTCTCTCCAGGTGGCCCTTGGCCAGCCCTGTATCCATGTGGTGAGTCCCCAAGTGCCTCCTCACCTTGCTGTGCTCCCCCCCCCCCCAAAGTGATTTGGGGTGCAGGAGCTAAGGATGGGGCCCATTACACCCCTAAAGGGTGGGCACCAGATGTGGACCTCAGAGGCAGAGCTGGTAGCAGCCCATGAAGCCGGGGAGAGTGATGGCTCCTATAACTTCCCCAGTCAAATGGAGCCCTGCTTCAGCTGCACGCAAATGGTAATAAACCACAGCAGCTTGCAGCAGCCTACTGCCCACCTGGGTACCCTCAGCCTCCCTCCTGCTGAGATGCAATAGGAGCACCCCAAGGGCACAGCTCCCACTCACCCATGGTCCCCATGCGGACGGTCCCCTCGCTGCTCCCAGCACAGGGGCGAAGGAACGGCGGCGTGGCCTGCAGGACAAGGGGGAGGGAGGTCTGGTAGAATGGGCAGCAGGCGCTGGGGCTCAGCCCCATAGCAAGGGGAGTTGTAGGGCGGCCGCGCTGCGTAGAGAGGCGGCAGCCCCCATCCCGCACTCCTTCATGCTGCCCTTGCTGGGGCCACAAAGGGCCATTAACGCCGCGTGAGATGGAGCTCAGCACCCGCAGACTGCCCCCCCCCCCCCCCCTCCATCCCCCCCCTCCCCCTTCCCACTGCCAGCCACGGGCAGGCGGCACCACCGCGTGGTTCGGAGCTGGCACTGCAGCCCCTGAAACCGGCCCCGGCTTGGCGGTCTGCAAGCCCACGGCCGCCTTCCCCCTGCTGGGAAACAACCCGAGAGCGGGTGGTGACACGGGGACAGCCCCCAACAGCAGCCCGCCCCGCACCCCCGCACAACGCCAGCACACACGGAGCCCGCTGAGCTGCAGCCATTCATTGCGGGGTCGGGCAGCGGGGTCCCGCTCCCCCCGTGCTCACACAATAAATTTGTTCTTGGTGAGGGAGCCGCTCTTGGTGGCCGTGTCCGCGTGCGCCTGGTACCCGATGGCCACCTTCTGCGACAGCCCCAGGTGCTCCTTATAGACGCGCCTGTGGGAGGAAGGGGGGGCTGCAGAACGGGGAGCATCGCCCACCCAGTCCAACGCCCACCTCCCCACCACCAGTCCCTGCTCCGTAGAGGAGAATGAGCTCAGGGCAAAGCCCCGGGAACAGCCCCACGGCCATGGGTCGGCCCCACCAGGAACCGCCCCGCCCCGCATTACCCGATGTGGGTGACCCCCTCCCGGTTCTCCGCCTCCCGGGTCCAGATGGCGATCTTGTCCCCCTTGGCACGGATGTTGATGACAGCCCCGCACACCTCATCGCTGTACTCATCGAACATCTCCCCGATGAGGCACAGGAGCTGCAGGGAGGAGAAGGATCCCAGGCTGGGCTCAGGACAGCAGCAGGGGGATGGCGCTGCCCCAGCCCGGTACGCACCGTCTCCAGCCAGAAGCGGTCCAACTCTGTATGCCTCTGCTGCTTGGCGAGGGTGATGAGCCAGCGCCCACCGCGCTTGTTCTGGCTGTCCTCCCACATGGGCTCGATGCCGTCCTGGGACAGAGAGGGAATGCTCACAACGGCCAGAGCCAGCTCGGGGCACAGGGATGGGGTCCAAGCAGCACCCTGTGCCTCATGGTACTGGGGTGCAGGGCTGTCACACCTTGAAGAGGGAATAGTCACAGCCCGATGTCAGCTTGCTGGCCAGCTGGATGTGGGTGTACAGCCTGCAGCAGAGACATACAGAGAGCAATGAGAGGAGGTGCCCCACAGACACCCAAATCCCCAGACCCCAAACCTCCTAGAGTGGGGATGGCACTCACGCCCAGAAGTCCTCCACCGTGCTGAACTTGGTGACCAGGCGTAGGTTGGCCTGCCACATCTTGCTCTTGTCATTCTTGAAGAACCACAGGGCCCACCTGAAGGACAACAGGGCTGTCAGCTAGGCTGGACGCCACCCCAGACACCCATCTGGTGCTGGGATGCTTCCCACAGCCAGGACCACGTACCTGTTGTGCAGTGGGTGCTTGCCCAGGCTCTCTGCCACCTGCAGCTCCTGCTGCTGAGCCCTGCGCCTGCGCCGCTCCTCCTGTCTCCTCTGGGGAAACAGCACAGCCATCCCCATAGGGGCGCAACCCCACAAGTCAAAGCTGCCAAGTGCCCACTGCCCACCCCAGTCCCATAGAAACTATGGGATCAAGGAAACACCCACCTGCTCCCCGGAAGCCATTCCAACCAACACAGCCCTCTTCTCACCCTGTGCTTTTAAGGGCTCTCAGCTGGGTGGGATAAGTGCCCTGCTGCAGCTGGGGAGAGGGTGTGGAGGCTGTAGGGAGGGGGCAGGGCAGGGTAGGGTCAGGAAGTAGGGATGTAGTGGGACAGGATGGGACCAGAATTTGTTGATGGGGTTGGGGGAGTGGGATGGCAGAGGGATAGGCTGGAATGTGGGACAGGGATGGCATGGAGTGGGAACAGGGTGCAGTGGGGCAAGGGATGGGATCAAGAGTAAGGAAACAGGAGGGAGAGGCTGGGTCTGTGCTGAACTGTGCTAAAAGCTGCTGTGTCAAACTGTGTCAAACTGCACCATGCCATGAGGAGGTGAGCTGTGCTGAGCTGTATCATACCAAGCCATGACACACAATGCCAAATCTTGCTAAGCTGTGCCAAACCTTGACAAAATGTGCCAAGCCAGACTGTGCCAAGTTGTGCTGAGCCATGCCAAGCCATGCCAAGCTGTGCCAAGCCAAACCATGCCTAATGGTGCCATGCAGTACTGAGCTGCGTCGAGCCATGCCAAACTGTGCTGAACTGTGCCAAACCATGCCAAAATATGCAGAACTGAGATGTGCTGAACTGTGTCAAGCCAAGCCGTGCCAAAGCATGCTGAGCATGAGGAGCTGTGCTGAAATCTGCCAAGCTGTGCCAGACCATGCCAAGACATGCTGAAATGTGCAGAACTGTGCCATGCCAAACCGTGCTGAGCTAAGCCATGCTGAAGCAAGCCAATTGGGCCAAGGCAAACCATGCCAAATCATGCCGAGCCATGCCAAAATGTGCAGAACTATAAAGTGCCAAACTGTACCAAGCTGTGCTGTGCCGTGCTAAGGTGCACCAAGGTATGACAAACTGCTCTGAGACTTGCCAAGCCCAGTCTAGCCATGCCAAAGCATGCCAGATTGTCCTAAACTGTGCGGAGCTATGCCAAAATGTGCAGAGCTGAGCCATGCAGAACCAATCTGTGGTTCTGCACAATCTGTGCCTAACTGTGCTGAGTCATACCGAGCCGAGCTCTATTTAAATGTATAGTTCCAAGCTGTGCTGAGCAGTGTCAAGCTTAGCCATGCCAAACCACCCCAAGCTGAGCAGTGCTAAACCACACCAAGCCATGTCATACTGTGTGGAGCCATATCCAACAGTGCCGAGCCGTGCTGCAGCATGCCAGGCTGAGCTGAGCCATGTTGATCCAAATCGTGCCCAGCTGTGTCAAGCTGTGCCAAACTGTGCCCACCTGTGCTGCGCCATGCTGAACCATGCTGAGCCAGACTGCACTGAGCCATGCAGTACAAAGCTGTGCCAAGACACGCTGAAAGGTGCTGTGCCAAATCACGCCAAACTGTACCATGACTTCACCTTAGCCACAGTCAGCCATAATGAGCTGTGCTGTGCTGAGCTGTGCCAAGCTGTGCCAAGCTGTGCCAAACTGTGCTGTGCCGTGCTGAGCCAGAATGTGCTGAGCCATGCAGAAATGTGCCCAAATGTGTCAAACTGTGCCAAGCTGAGCCATGATGAACTGTGCCAAAACATGCCAAGCTGTGTCAAGCCAAGCCGTGCTGAAGCATGCTGAGCTTGAGGAGCTGTGCTGAAATCTGCAAAGTGTGCAGTGTGCTTTATGAGCTGTGCCAAAGCATTGCAAAGCAGGCTGAACTGTGCTGAGCCGAGCCGTGCCATGCCAAATGTTTTCAAATTGCACAGAGCCATGCTGTGCCAAACCATGCCAAACCAAGCTGAGCCAAACTGAGCCTTGTCAAGATGTGCCGAGCCAACACGAGCCGTTCCATGCCATGCCGTACTGCGCTGGGCCGGGCTGAGTCACGCTGAGCCGTGTGGAGCTGAGCCAAGCCACGACTTGCCAAAACGTGTTGTTCTGAACTATTTCGAGCAAAGCCATGCCAAGATCGGGCAGAGCCGTGTTTGGCCACCCTTGTACCTCACCACACGGGGGCAGTACATCCCCGTGCACGGTCCGGTTCGGCCCGGTCCGACTCGGTTCGGCACGGCTCAGCACGGCACGGCACGACACGGTTCGGCTCAGTTCGGCACGGCTCGGCACTGCTCGGCTTGGCACGGTTCAGCACGGTTCGGCACGTCACGGTTCAGCCGTGCACGGTGCCCAGCACGGCTCAGCTCGCACGGCGCGGTCCCCCCCGCGCATCACGGCGCATCACGGCGCAGCGCAGCGCAGCACAGCGCAACGCGGCTCCGGCACAGCCGCACTGAGCCCGCCCCGCCGCAGCCCGGCCCGGCTCGGCCCGGCCCGCGCCGCGCCCCGCCCGTCCCCGTGTGCCCGCGTGCCCGTGTGCCCGCCACCGAGCCAGGTCGGGCAGCGCGGCGGGAGCGGGGCGGTGCGGGATCGGGGGCGGCGGTGCGGGGCGGGGCGGGTATCGAGGGCGCGGAGATGCGCGAGGCGGGCGGGCGCCGGGCCGGGGTGAAGCCGTGCGGCCTCTCCCCGCAGAGCCGCCATGGAGGTGTTCATGAAGGGCTTGTCCAAGGCCAAGGAGGGGGTGGTCGCCGCCGCCGAGAAGACCAAGCAGGGGGTGGCTGAGGCCGCCGAGAAGACCAAGGAAGGGGTCCTCTATGTCGGTAAGGGCCGACCCGGCCTGCGTGTCTCCCCCCTCCCGTCCTTGCAACCTCCCGCATTTGCCCTTGCATCCTCCCGCCCATCCCCCTGCTGTCCCCTTCAGTCCCCCTACCCCCGGCTCTCGCTCCCCGCCCCCGGCGGCACCGGCGAGCTCCGTCCGCAGCGCTCTGCCCGCGGGGATGGGGCGGAGGGGTTGCAGAGGAGTGGGACCCTGCGGCTGGAACCCCCGCGGCTCTACAGCGAGGACGCTCCGGGACTCAGAGCGGAGGCGCCGCGGGGCTGCGGCGATGCTCGGGCACCGCTTGCGGGGAGCTTCGGTGGGATGCGCTGAGATGTGCCCGGCTTGGAGCGGAAATGCCGGGGATCCGTTTGTCCCTCCCGGGAGAATTCGTGCCCCGGAGTACACACGGGTGAATGGTGCAGCCGGGCTGCGGCTTCGGGCTGCTGGGAACTGGGTGCCGCTTCATCCCACTGGGCGAGGGGTGGAGCGGTGCCGAGCGGGGCTCGCCGTGCCCGGGGCGCTGCCCCAGGCGGGGGTCCCGCGGTGCCCGGGGGCCCCGTCCCGCAGAAGAGCTGTCCGCATCTCCGGGCCGCTCCGTGCAGCAGCGCGCCCCGTGCATCCGGCAGCCCTCCCGTGGGGGGAATCGGGGGCTGCTCAGCGCGGGGCGCACTGATCCACGTCTCTCTCTGTTTCTACCCCCAGGGAGCAAAACCCAAGGCGTGGTGCAAGGCGTCACCTCAGGTACGGTCCTTCCTGCCCCCGCAAGCGCAGCCGTGCTAACCGGGTCGGGGCTAAGCGAGGGGCTGATGTCACCCGGCTAAAGCCACTTACATAACGGGGCCCGCAACACAGGATTTGCGGCGCCGCCCGCACTCCGTGCCCAGCTGCAGAGCCGCGGCCCCGGGCATGGAGGGGGGGCGGGGGGATGGGAGCCCGGTCCTGCGCCTGACTAGCCATCAGCCCCCCCCGGGCCCCTCTCCCTGGCTCGGGGGACACTGACACGCACCCCCGGCTCCCGCAGTGGCCGAGAAGGCGAAGGAACAGGCGTCCCAGCTGGGCGAAGCGGCGTTCTCGGGCGCCGGCAACATCGCGGCGGCCACGGGGCTGGTGAAGAAGGAGGAATTCCCCGCGGACCTGAAGGTGATTCCCCCCCTCCCCGCACGCCGCTGCACCGCCCTCCTCTCGGCAGGGACCCCCCGGTGGCACCAGGCGCGCTGCCGGAGGGTCCCCATCTGAGCGTCCCCGGGGCCGGGGGGCGGACGGAGGGTCCCCCGCGTGGCGGCTGCGTGCGCGGCTGCTGCGGACGTGTGCGTGCGTGGATCCCCGCATGGCGGCGCGGGGCCGGCGGGGCGGCATCGCCGCGTTGCACCGCGAGGTGACCTGACAGCTGCGGGAGCGCTGGGGCGGGAGGGGCGGCGGGCTCCTCTCGCTTCCAGCTTAGCCCAAAATAGCAGCAGCTGAAGAAATGAGGCCACGGCACGCACCGCCGCCGCGCGGGGGGACCGGCCGTCCTCCTCCAGCCGCTCTGCCCGGCCCTGGGGAGGGGTTATCCGCCCCACCCCGCCCGGGATGCGGGATGCTCCGGCACCTCGAGGGGGGCTGAAGGCGCCAGCACGCGTCACCCGCCTGGCGATGAGCATTGCGGGGATGCGCACTTCCACAGTCGCTTTCCTGTCCCTTCCCAGCTTTGTGCGCTGCTGTGAGCACCGGGTGCCCTGCCAGCACCCTCGCTTTGCCCCGTATCATTCCGTCCTGGCTCTATCCCACCCCGTGTGGGCGTGTGCCTGGTCCCTGCCAGGTCCCCCGGGTAACTCCCTCCCCGGAAGGGTGACGTTCGAGGGATGCATGCGTGGAACTGACCACCCGCTTCACCCCCAGGCCGAGGAGGTGGCCCAGGAGGCTGTGGAAGAGCCGCTGGTTGAGCCGCTGCTGGAGCCGGAGGGGGAGAGCTACGAGGAGTCCCCACAGGTGAGGGGAAAGGATGGCACTGCAGGGATGCGGGCTGTGCTCAGCGCCTGGTGGCATCGCTGTGGGGAGAGGAGCCAGGAGCCTGCCAGCTCTCCAGCACCCAGAGCAGGGAGCCTGGAGGTCAGGCAGGTGTGGTTGGAGGAGCTGTCCCAGCTGAGCCTTCTCACTGCTCTTTCTTTTCCCATCTCGCAGGAGGAATACCAGGAATACGAGCCAGAGGCATAATGAAACCCTGTCCTTGCCTCTTCCACCAGCAGCACAACGAACCGCCGGTAGCCCCCTGCTCCTCCCCTGCTGGCCCCGGCCAGCGCCCACGTGCCGGGGAGGAGCAGGGTTGCCCCTGCCCCGTTCGCTCACAAGTTCTTCCTCCAGTTCCGTTCCAAGGGACCATGTCCATGTCTCC